CGAATATCACAGAAGTGCACTTTCTGAGGCGCAAAAAACAGTTAAATGGACCACTGAGAATAGACGGTTTTCAATTTTTTTGCTCATAAGTAAACGACATCAGTTGTATTGTAAACGCTTTTTCAACGTTTGTTAGAAGGCGATTACAATGTGCTCCTGGCTTTTACCTCGACAGGTTCGTCCATCTCCGGTGTAGCCGTTGTTACAGATGCACGTGTAGGATCCATCTGTATTGTAACATGTTGCACTGCTGTCACACTGGTGACCTGAAGAACACTCATCGATATCTAAAGCAAAGAAAAACCTTTTTACTACCATTTCAAGAAATTTAAAGTACCGTAAATTAATTTTCAAAAGCTTCTGGCATATAAGAAATATTTGCCTGCGAATAAGTGGTCCTAGTAGCTAGTAGGCCTGGGCGTGAGGAGCAGATAATTAAATTAGGTTTTAACCCCTCTATGCTTTTGCATCCGTCAGCAAGTTTATGTTTGAGTCATTATATTCTTGTCCGTTCAGCAGCGGATTTTTAAGTGTTTGGATAGAGTTTTCAGGAGACCATACCAATATTTTTTAATCGCCTTAAAAGTGATTTATCCTCGTCCGATCGCTAAAAAACTTTCACCAGCGATTGACTATGAATTAATGTTTGTCATAATGCAGTTTTAGTAGAATCGATATCACCATGACGACAACAGCGCCGTAGCTAGTATGAGACCAACCGAGGCACTCGCCTCCGTAAAATTTTCACGAATTTCGCCGATCACTTTTATTTTACATAAGCGATCATCGGATATTTTTAACGCATCATGATATTACAAAGAATTCAGCAATTCAGTCAATATACTATGAAAAAATTACCATATCATCGATCTCAAGGGGCTACGTACGTTAACTCAAATTTTTTTTGAACAAATACTGATCAAAACCATTGGCGAGGTTAACGGTCACCCAGATTATGTAGCTTGTTTCTGATTATTGCTTTTTAAATTCCACTTAAATTAACTCGAAAAAAAGTTACCGAAAGGCCCAGAAAACGCTGCAAATCGCATTTCCGAGAGACTAAAGTTCACAATTTCTCGGGGGGGGGGAGGGGGGGCATGCCCCCGAACCCCCCTAGCAACTCCCGCCTGCCTCGGTTGACCGTTTGGTCTGGCTACGGCACTGGACAATCTTGATGTTCCGCCGTTATCTGTAGTTACGAAGCGTTTTTGAAATGCAATTCTAACTCATAGCAGTTTCAATCTTTTTAAAAACGTGTGTGAATAATCATGGGAATAGCTCTAGCCGATTGCAAGAAAGAGGTATTTGATTAGGGCGCCCTTGTTAGCGGTTTGGGAACATTTTGGTCTTCTAGATTATTCTTAAAATTTGAGATTCTCATGATTAACCGTCATTTTAAATCCTTCTTCATACCAATCGGCTAAAGTTATCCTCATAATCTTTCACACACGTTTTTAAAGAGATTCAAACTGCTATGAGATGTAACTGCATTAATTCAAAAGCGCTTCGTTTTCTTAAGATAACGGCACAACGTCAAGATTGTCCAGTTTTTCAGGGCCCCGCGCAGGGGGAGTGGCTGGGGGCCAGGGCCCCCAACTTTTTGAAAAAAAAAAAGAAGTAAAATTAAGAAATAAAAATTTTCTAATAAAAGGAATCTTTGATGGAATAAGAATATTAGACTGGCGGACCTCCCCGAAGCATCCAAATTTATGATTGGTCCGTTTCGATCCTATATCACTATGGTAAGCTTCAAAACGTCTATCTTTACAAAACTATACTTAGTCGTAGACTTCTGCGTTTTCACCAGCCAGGTGATGTAGTATTCGCACAAACAATGGAGTCTTCTTTATCAAGGTTCTTAAATCTCCACGGAGCTAAGATTTCTTAAAAACAAATTGAACTCGACGACGTGGTAGTCAACATGAAGAAGTTTCAGGAATTACCTCAGCAGAGCATGATGAATAAATTTGTCCCAATTTGCAAGCTTCTGCTGGTAAATTCTGCGACCATCGCAGGAGACAAAGATCCTTTTCGGCAGCTCGAAGCTTAAAAAAATGGCTCCCTTCAACAATGGTTAAAAAAAGGTCCTAAACAGCCGCAAGGAGAGAAAGGACAAACTTTGAAAGCGAATGAAACACGCGAAAATTATGATGCTGCTCTGCATGGTCAGACCATTTTTGTTACTAACCCCTTTTTCGTTTGTTAAACTATCTAAAAAATAATTGATGAGTTGAAACTGTATTAAAAAATAATGAGTCGGCACCAGGTAAACCATTATTTGAAAACTGCTCTGCAGGCCCTGTTCTAACTATAAAAACATCATTCCACAATATCTCGATAACGCTCTCATAGAGCTCGCTTAAAATTCCCGACCATCGAGAAGGCTATTGGAGGAAAAATTAAGTTCCCGTGAACGATTTTTGAAGAACAGTTATAGTGCCGAGAATACGGCTGCAAGTAGAATAGGTATGGTGTCATTTAGTTGCTATGACAATTCCGATGCCACCATTGCAATCCTTGAGTTCTAGTTATAGGCATTCTTTTGTACGTTGCAATTTTGACCGCGCGCTTCAGAGACGTTTTACCTCTTGAGGAATGTTTATGTTCTTTAACACGGCATCAGGGGTCCCACAGTCGAATAATAAATTTTTCCGTTTTAAGTGAATATGAGGAAGTTGTCTGTTGGCGACATATCGGGTTTTTTTTAAACCAGACTATGACCCATATTGGCCCGATGGTGTTCATGTTAACGCTGCTGGACAATACTCTTTGTCTCGCAGCTATCGAGGTACTATCACGAAAGGCTTACAACTGCTCGCCAAGAATTTCCTCGGTCAGCAATAATGCCTGATTTTTGTTTGATTTCGTTTACAGCCCTAGTCTGCGCCACAGACCAAAACCTCTGATTAAGTCAGTCTGCTAGCCAGCGCCGATTCCTGTGCTCCCAGCTGTGTACATGTACCAGGATTTGAGTAGGCGCCATTATTAGATTGTTAATAAGCCATTGCTCGATTGGCCAATCATGTTGAAGGAAAATTCAAAACGCACTGCCGATAATTCGTTGAGTCCGTTTGGGGTCTAGATGAAGAATATCGTTGCTGTTTCCCAGACGTTACTAACCGAGAGGAGATTAAGTCTGCGACACAAGTTCTTGGAGCCCCTGCCTTTCTAATTTACTTTCCATCAGAGCCCTTTTTGGACTAAACTTTTTTATCGAGCTCTTGATGTTCTTTTTTTTGTAAAGTTCCTGTTGCTCAACAATTTTATTTTGTTGTTTGTGATTACACACGTCTACTATGGCGACCTTGGGTCAGCCATGCTTGTCCTGTAACACGATTTTTGTGTTGGAGACCCTGTTGTTCTAGTTTTTTAGCGTTTTGTATTTGTGACCTGAAATTTTAACTAGCAACTGTTTAAAATTTGAAGTATTTACTGGACAGCATTTCTTTCTACCCTTTAAATATTAGCCTATCTTTTCCAAAAGTAATGTTAATAAAACTACCGGTAGTTTTTCAAGGAAAAATAGATTTGGTTCTCCTGAGCATATAATACCTGTACATGCCAAGCCATCACCAGCATATCCTACGGAGCAATGGCACTTATAGGAGTCGATGGTGTTTGTGCAGACAGCATTCTTGTGGCAGTGGTTATTATTTCCTCCACATTCATCAAAATCTAATTTAAAAATCAAGTAATTAACAATTGTTCAATTAATCAACCCGCCAATCGATTGTCAATTAACTTTTTTTTTAATCAAAAATGAAATGAACCTAAAAAATAATAACAGATGGACAAATAGATGGAATGTTTCGCTGCGCGACTGTCACTGATAAACAGATTGCACGAACAGATCTTGGTGTAATTTAGCTCATTTGCGCATTCCCTATCAACCCTGTCAGCTTGATCTTACTTATTTTGAAGAAATTGTGTTGTATATTAGTTAAATGTATGTGCACATGGATCAGTCAGTTAAAACTCTTGTCGATGAAGGACTTATTCAAAAAACGCTAAAAGCGTCAGCCTCTTGGATTCTTTCTGCGATGTCTAATTTTTCTGATCACTGATTTTCTTTGATTTTCCAGTGATTTTCTAGTTTTCTGATTTTCTAATACCTGATTTTCTTTGTAAGCTAATCCTTCAATCCACTCCTTTGGAACATTTTGATAACTACCAGATTTGCAGTAAACTCAAAACACTTGTCCAGGTGCAAATTGGTAAGATGCCAGTATGTCTTTTTTGGCAACAAGAAAGAAAAACGTTACATTTATGTATCAATGACACTTAAACGACTGGCGGCGTTAACTTAAAGACCAATTTTGATTTCCTAGAAACGCTCCCTTGCAAAATGATTTCAACTGCTAAACCTTTCTTGACGACGGAGTTTCGATGGAACACTTAAATACACTTAAAATTAAGGTTTGGGGCTACAAGGAAATGGCTTTTTGAACAGCTAGCAATAATGCTGCTGCTGCTGCTACTACTGAAGATGATGCATAGAAAATGAGTTTAAGTGCGAAACATTGCAAGAGGAAGGGGTTTATTTGACTGAGAATAGAGAACAATTTCCACATGTGAACAAAACTTTGAAGTTGACCTCGATTTGAAAAATCGGCTTGGGGCAAATCGCAAATGGCTTTTGAATAGGAACTAATGATAATGGTAATGATGATGATGATGATGATGATGATGATGATGATGATGATGATGATGATAATGATGAACATCGTCTATTATTATAGAAGAGAGGTAAGTCACCCACAAACCTTCTGAGCAGGTATAGTTATGGCAGGTATCACACCTCACATCATTCCACATAAAACTATGTCTGACTCCTAATGTGTGAACACAATCTTCATTGTTGAAGTTGTTTGGTTGGTTTTCCGCCCAGTATGTGAAATTATTGGTTTGATTATCTGCCCAGGTGAAATTGCCCTCTGTGACCCTATCATTTAGACCAATCCAGCCCTTAGCACCATTCAGCCGATGCTGAATATAAACGTTTTCTTCTTGATTCCGTACGGTGATGAGGTTGGCGCTGTATGCCTGGCAGATTTTCTCTGCTTCGGTCCAATTTTTGCATGAATGGCTTGTCAAGTAGCAAATACCATTAAAATATGACCAGCCCGGTTTGCATACATCTGCAATATACAAGAAAAATTGTGTGAAGTAAATAGTGCGAAATGAAGAGAAAATAAGGCCTATAGGCCAGACGTCGAACTTTTCATGAGACGAACCTAACTAAGTGAGTTAAGCGAGTTAAGTTCATGAAACGTTCTCAGCGACGTCTGGCTCGGTTAAGTTCGTCTGAATAAATCGTCCAACACGTTCAGACGGACAGAGCGTCCGAAGATCGTCTCCGGGAAAAACGTCGATCTTCACATGCCATAAACTAAACTAATAAATTAAAAAAATTGTTCCATAATGTGTATAAAATCGTTCGGGAGAAAATAGTTTTATTTCTGATTTGATTCAGATGATTAGCTCGATGCCTCCTATATGTAAAGATCGACGTCTGACCCAACATATCTAGACCGGATCTTAACTTAAGTAAGGTCGACCCAAATTAGAGTATGGCTCGTTCTATGAAACGGTTGACGTTTGGCTTAGCCCCAAGCTGATCTAGAAGTTTGCGGAAATAGAAACCTTTACTTGTAGTAAGTAGGAACTAAGAAAATACATTTACTGATGATTACTTAAAAGAGATATGGTAAAAGGAGTCTCCCAGTTTACTTGACATCTAACAATTGCTGGGCATGAGAAGGTCTTCGCAAAGAAATTAAATATGCTTTTATCATTTACTAACACACCTGCTAATACTGTATAGGAGACAGTCACCGGATCATGCTGGTCAGCGAACAACTCCTTGAGACAAATGCGAAATTCGCTGGTCTTGATATGCTGTAAAATAAGCATATCATCATATCATATTTACCTTAGAAGAACAGTAATAGCTCAACTTAAAGAGACTTTCGCATAACAGCCTGTAACTGAGTCATTTCCCTATCTAAACAAAAAAAGAACATGGGAAACTGACCTTGAATAACAGATAGACAAAATTAAGAGATGGAATGTTTCGCTGCGCGACTGTCACTGATAAATAGACTGCATGAACAGACCTTGGTGAAATTTAGCTCATTTGCGCATTCCCTATCAACCCTATCAGCTTGATGTTAATTATTTTAAAGAAATTGTGTTGTATATTAGTTAAATAATTTGAGAATACCTCAATCCATGGGGTCACGGACATGTATATTGGCTTCAAATTGTTGCCCTCTGAGTTGTGACCGGCTGCTATTAATACTATGGGTTCTTTGTCGTAATTCTTTGCAAATGGGACGTCCTAAGGACATAAAAAGAAGGCTGTTGATATAAAATTTGAAACACCATCCATTCCTGATCAACGCATAGTCATATTATAGGTGATGAACGTTCATAAAACAATTTCCTTTCATCTCTTCTCTTTTGAAAGATCATGATGACATGATATGGCAACTCATAGATGTGAGATAAATCTTCGTTTTTACTCCTATTTATTAAGTTGGGATAAAATCTGGAGTTTTACAGCCGTAAAGATGATTTAAAATGCCTAAATGTACTTATTTGATAGCCGCTTTTCTGTGCTGTTCCATTAGACTTTCAAAAAAGTCCTTCGTCAGATTTAATATGGCGCGGGATGAAGGTCGACCTCTCGCGACTTTGTCGCTCGGTAGGCCGCTTCGCGGCCTCGCCGAGAGGTGGACTTGTAGCAAGTCTACTGTTCCATCTAAAAAGATAAAGAGCTTTCTTCTGCTTAAAAGTAAAGTTGCGTCTTACCTTGCAAAATGCACCATTGTAGCTTGTAGAAACGGAATTGTTGTTTGGAAAATCCACGTGTTTGCTCTCAGCGAAAAGGGGCCTGTGGATTGTTTCAAAGGCCATCCAACTCTAAAAAGAGGGATAGCAATCAAAAATGGATTGCTATCTCATACCTAAATCCCGTGTAAAAATAATTGAGCCATGTACCCGAAAAACGATTTGTAACTTGTATCCACAATCCTTGCGAGAGCTCATTTCACGTATATTATCATTGACCCTACTCAGACCGTTTCTTTTTTTGCTCCCTGTGAGCAGGGTGGGTTGGCTTTGCAGGCTCCCCTCTATAACTTTAAAACCTCTAATGATACGGCCACCAAAATTACACAGAATAAAATATTTTCCAATGTCTAGGCATAATTTGATTGTCACAATGACGTTATTTGACGTCATTACAACGTCATATTGTTGAATTTGTTGGCTGAATAATGCGCTGCATTAGATACACTGTCATGAGTTTCTCAATGGCTATTAACCTACAACCTCCCCCCCTAAAAAAAGGCCTTTCATAACTTCCTATATAATTCTCTCTGTATGCCAGTTTGAAATCAGGGCGCGTTTTAGATTGAACACGGCTCTCTTAGTGGGCATTCTTAGAGTTTTTTTGTTGCTGCCTTAAGCAAAGCTTTCCGGAAGGCATCATGAAACCTTATGAAGGAACAAGTCTCACGATTAAGTCTGCTACGTCGTCTCGTATTTCGTCTCATTTAGCTGCACGGATGAAATACTGATCCCGGGTTTGAGAAGGAAAGATTGGATATTGCGAGCTTTGTTGTTGGCAGCAAAAAGTCTTTGGCCCCACAAAGGAGGTTCTAGGGGTGAAATTTATCCGGCGAGATGGAAATTGATGCTGATCTCTGACCAGGCCAAAGACGTCTTCGTCAAAAATTGTTTGGAAGGCGGGGGCTACATGTTTCCTTTTCAACCGCTGGTTTACATCCAGGATCTTGAATAAATCGACTGTGTGAGTCGAGAAAAGTTTCCATCGACGATTTATGTGCAGAATGCGACAGTTTTTCCGAGTAATTTGACGATGATTCGCCCGTGTTAAATGTGGAAATATTACGAGTGGTTTTTGGAAGTTCTATGATTGCCACGAAATTAATATTGTGTGATTTACCGAAAGCGTTGACAAACAAAATTCAGCTATGTGGTTGAGCTCGTGTTACCAGATTACGGTACCAAGCAGAAAAAAAACGCTTCGCAAGTATTTAGTCTAGGTGATTTTGTCTTAGAAAGCCTATTCTGTGCTCAAAGATTGTGGCTTACTAATCTGTTTTCGGCAGACACTTGCCTCTGGGGCCTCATGGTTTGGCTGACTAAAAAGTTATAAGTTCTGGACGTTTCAAATGTTCTTTATTTTATGCCAAAATCCTGTTCCTTCTGAGAGAGAAATTTACCGTCTGTTGCCAGCAATAAAGTTGTCAGCTAGTATTTCGTAACTACTTTCCATTCGACTTAGATATCAAATGGTTAAAATGCACTTGAAATTTCTTAAGCCACGATTTAGCAAACTCAAGACAGATATATTTATAAAGGAGAAAACATATACCACAAAGATATCTTCATGTAGACCATCATAATTCTGTAGTTCTCGAAGACAAATGTAAAAGGAGGAACTGGTTGCGTTTTCCACCCACAAACTTGCGGCATCATGCTTAAAGTCTGCACTTATATGTTCTGCTGTAACCAGGACCGTTGGTGTGGACGCAAATTTTCCCTGTTAAAAAAACCATTCATAACAGTAAGAAAGTTGAATTGGTAATCATTAAGTATACACAGCAAAGCTGATTGGGAGAATAGCATGTAAATTTTGGAATAAATAACATTTCACATGATCGGGACGCTCATAGGACATCGGATCGTAGTCAGGTGTCTGAACGCGACAGTCAAATTTAGCCCTTGACCGTACAAGTTTCTTTCTCCTATTTTTTTTTTGTATTAAATAATGCTTTTTTAATAATATCTCCCCCCCCACCCCTCTGACAAACAGTGTAAAAATTGAAAAAGGTTTAAAATGGCCTATGTGTCAGAAAGAATTTCGCGAACAGAACTGGGCTGTCTCTTTGCAGCTCATGTCTCCAAGTCCAAGTACGATATCTTTGATTGGATAACAACTGGAGTGTTTAGTGCTTATGACATCATCATAGCAAATGTTCACCTTATTGAAAACGTAACTAAAGGTCATTATTTTTTATGGTTTATGCAACGAAACAAGATGTAGCTGAGACGTAACAATAAAGTGTTATTGCCTGAGGAAGGCCAACTTTTGAGCACTGTGATCCAGTCCACCATTCTGGAATGCTCATTTTACCCGCCACACCTCCATCAGGAGCACCTTGGTAGGCCATCCAGTCCACCGTGGCAAATTCTTTGACAAAGCGATCATTTCTTCCTGCTGCAGTCACGCACACCTAAAGATAAAATGTAATGGCTAATGCTCATTTTATATGGTAAGATAATATATAGATTTAGCCAAGGCCAAAAGCGAAGCTCTCGTGGTAACTTACTTCCTGCAGTAAAGTTTTCTAAGCCTGCGATCTCTTGAATTCTGTTACTGGTCAGCGGAGAACTTTTAAAAAACCCGTCATCTCAATAAGTTGCACACCTGAGCCCGCCGTAAGTCATGTGACACTGGTCTGCGGATGCCTTACTTTGACAGCTGTCAATTGATTATAACATGGTTGTCCAAAATCGAGTTAAACACAATTTGTATATGTTTTGGACTTACAGCTAGTAAGACATTTCACATCCGTTAACATGAAGACGCCGTCCTACGTACGTACGCACGATTTTGTTAGTAACCAAAATTTCTTGGATGCATAGATAACCAAATTTTCTTACCCATAGTGTTCCTCTGCGCGCGCAAGAGGCGAAGTCTCCCCTAGTAACTCGTTGTGAAAATAAAATATGTTCAAATAGTATTTTACTCGCCAGAAATATGACAGGTAAACAAGAAATCTTGGAGACAAATGAACAGAGGCTCACTAATTACTACTTGAAGTAATACTTGAATTGAAAACTTCCTTTTAAAATATTCACCTCAAAATTCTCGAAGTTAACAGTTTCCACCCAGGACACAGTAGCATCATGTACAAAATTTTTCTCGCTTATGTTCCAGTGATTGGTCGTTATTTGTACGTGCACTTCTTTGTCCGGATAGAATGAAAACGGTGGAAATTTCACTACTTCACAGGCCGTCTCTGCCCACTGTACATGTCTCCTCAGTGAAACTCGCCCAGTCTGAACAGGAAAACCTGTAGAGGAACAACAAGAAGAAGAAGATATAACATAGAAAAAACTATTTGCGAGGAATTAAATTAAAAGCTGATTGTACAATCACACGATCATATAGTGGCACTATATGATTGGCACTTAATTGCGTTCAAAGCAGTACCAGAATAAGCAAAATAATGTTTAATCATGAAAAATTATTTTAGACCTCCAGTATGAAAAATGCCATGTTCTTAAAAGAGAATTGTCAGTAAATTCCAAGATGGCGCCCAAGATGGCCGCCAAATTGAGTGTTGTCTTAAGTCATCAGCGGCACCATATCTGATAACACTAGAGCTCTGCATATGCTGGTTAAGGTGGTTTTAAAAATCATTATAATCCGCTCTCTTACCTGTACAACTGCCAGGATGATAGAGAGTGTGGTTACTCTTGCGCCTGCAAATGTCCAGCAGACAAAAGCACTTGTTCTTAAAGGTTGTCGAGTTGGATGAACACACTGGCTCCTCGTACGACGGGCAGTTGTCATCACAAACACAACGGGCATCAAATGCAGAGAAAGCTCTGCAGATGGCATGGTAATCGCAAGTAACGTTTGTGCACGGGTCTATATCTTTAGGACGAAAAAACAACAACAAAATCAGCACTTGTATGAATAGCAAATTGATCTGACGTCCTACATCCTTTGAGAGCGCAACTGCTTTTTGATATTTTTAAATTTTGCTTTGTTTTTCCTGTGCAGAAAATTTATGGCAAAAAAGGATAGGAAAGGGGAAGTTACTTTTTCTGCAAAAACGCTTGAAAAAGAGATACACTGCTGCAGTTATTCACCCAGATAGTAAGACGATCAGTACTATGCTGTCCTCAATATCTAGACGCCATTTTTTATAACTTCTTTCTTCGCTATTTGATCATAGTTTTTTACAGTGCCAATTGCCTGACTTTATTCTTATTCGAATTTATTACTTCAATTCGACGTTTGAGCCAAGATCCAAATTCCTTGATAGTAGGACGAACCTGTATGAGAGACAAATATTTGAAATTAAAGAATAAGCTAATATAAGAGTAATGTACCTCCCACTATAGCATAGTCCACTGTAACTGGATCGTGAAACTTGCTCATTCCCTGACTGTCTTTGATGCACACTTTGAAAGACAAACGAGTGATGTCCTGGAAAATAACATCAAATATATCAATAAATGAAAAGTTTGTATTGACTTGTTAGCTTTCAGACAAGGGGGATCCAGTGAGGGCAATAAGGACAAGCGCAACTTTGGTTTAATCGGACGTACAGTTTCCACGGTGATATAATGGACGCTGCAGTGTCTGTTACAGTCTGTTACAGTGCGCGGCCACTATAACTGAGGCTACCTAGACAATGTTGACCAATCGGATTACATGAAAATAACAACACATTCCGAGAAAGATAGTTTTCAATCATAATCACTATGGAAAGAAATAAAAAAAAAGAATGTATCGTAATCAACCAATTACAATGTACCGATTGAACCTTTTTTAAACCATGAACCCACGGAGCCTCCCTTAAGAAGAATCATCGGGTGAAAATTAGTATGGAAAGTGACAATCAGTTTGATGATTCAAGTTATTGCTTGAATTTGCCGTCAAGTGTTAAGTGCCACTCCGAACTTCTTCTTTTATTAGTTATAAGTCCTTTACTCTTTAGCGAAGGCAACTATTTTAATCAGCAAATATTTGAAACAGTTTCAACTTATTAGGTCTCTTCAAGGCTACTCACCTCAATCCATACAGTCAAAGCGTTGCTATAGCGACCATCTGCCTTCATTGACAGTTCCCTGGTGCCATTTTCATGGGTGGCAGACGCCAGAATATTGGGCGGCTCGTAGAATGGATTCTCAAACTTATAATCCTAAAAATCAGGATTTACCAAACACAATAATTTTCCCTCTGACTGTTTAAAGAAGTATTGTCGCTTTCATCCTTTTGAAAAAAGTGAAATGGTCCTAGTTCATTAAGGAACTGATTAGGCAAACTCTAGGTCTATAAAATATATCTAAGAGTGGATACATCTCCTTACCACGTACCGGTCAACAAATCTAAATCACAACTCTTGTGAACAACGCATGAGGTTTTAAACGAATTATTGAAGGTCGTATCTCTTGTTGGACTTAAAACTCTTATTTCAAAAATGCACAATACGCTGATGCCACAGTGTCACTTGAAGAAATGACAAATACACAACACAAACATTGATTGTTAACCACGTTGGTTTAAAGGCTTGAGTTTGTAAGTTAAGTTAATAAAATTGAATGCATCATTAATAGACGTCACATTTTCCAACCTGACAAAAGGCATAATTGCTCTCTTTCTTTGGTGCACCAAGTCCAGAGAAATGAAGCCTTCCTTGCTCAGTAAAATTCCAAGCCTCAGGTAGCAAATCATAAGCAAGCCAGTTCTGAAAAGGTGGACGCAAGTAACAGTCACAGCATTAAACGTCTTTCCTTATGGTTTTAAGAAAACTTAAACTGACGGTGGGAACCCTGAGAAAAATTCGTATCTGCAGTCTAGGAAAGAAGCAAAATACCATGACCTATATTTAACACTATTGTGACCGGGCGTTTTTGGGCTTCCTGGGAATTGGAGGGGGAAGGGGCCTTCGAAGACCCCTTCGAGAACTTTATAAGCACTCATGATACCGCCACTAAATTTACACAAAATAATGTAATCATCATTCCAACAACTAGGTTTAATGTCGCCTTGTTGCATTTATTGTCTGAACCCATAGCATATCAATTGTTCCCGTAGCCATTACGCAAAAATAATTAAATTACTTAAAAATCATGACGATGGTTGACACTTTGATAATCTTTAACAATGGCAGTGACAACATGATGACGTCATTTGTTACTGAGACCATATGCCTTTTTGGAACTGCCATTTTGAATTATTTAAATTTATTTAATTCCATTTATTCCTGCCAATTGGCCATTTTCAATTCAATTAATTTTTCCAAACTAGTCACTAAAAAGCCTTGATCATTTTAACAGCTACGTAAATAATGCTAAATTAAGTGTGATATAATAATTCATTAACGGTAAATCTAGAAAAAGTGCAAATTTTGAAAAACATGGCTATCAAAACTGTTCTCAGACAAATTTCAGCAAAATCGCCAAGTTTGATGGTGCTAGTCTGAACGGTTTTAAATTTATTCAACATTAAAGTTTTAGGAGGCCTCAAAGCAACCGGGCTGAAGAAGATTTAAAAAAATTGAGAAATAAATAAACAAAAAGCGGATAGCTTTCATGTGACATCAAAACACACTAGTGAACCCTAAAGTTTCGGCTTTGGGAAATGACGAGGATAGTTTATATGCGCGACTTCAAGAAAACTTTCTTTCTTTTCAAAAAGCCTGCACATGCGCAGCCGGCGGGATATTTTGTTAAGGCTGAAAAGCCGCTCTATGAAAGAACCCCGCTCCCTGATCAGAGTCTCCTCCCCTTTTTTTCACTTCCAGTCCACCCCTCCACCCCTTTCGATTCGTCAGGCTGTCTTTGCAAAGCTAGTTCAGAGATTTACGCTTTTAAAACATTTATGGGTTAGGTATTACAATAATTCTTCTAATATAATTATTACGTAATTTATAAGGGGGGGCAAACTAACCACCAGGGTTTTAATTAGCTTCCATACAATCAGATTTAGTTTTAAATTTAATTGATAACAAGTCGGACAAATAAAAACGTAATAGTCGAAGACTGGGCTAAATTTTTTAAAACTCACCACTTTAAGTCCGGTATGGATGCCGTCGAAACTCATAAACTCTCTCAAGCAAACAACGAAGCCGTCTGCTTTGACCTCTTCTAGCCAGATGTTCATGGAATCAAAAGGACGGTTAGAATGTTTATGTTGAACGGTTACAAACACTTGAGGTTTTATCTAAAAGAAGAGGAAAAATCACCCCATAAGTAGCTTAAATATGATTATCCACCGTTGCCCCGAAAAGGGCCGGATTAACTATGACTGACAATTGTTGACTGGGGAAATAATCAAGTATCGACTTCATTGCGGCTTTGAAGAGTTACTCGGTTTTGCATACGGCGATTTACCAGAGTAAGGAGGAGATTCTTGAAAAGCAAACAAAACATAGGAAAAACGGACGATTCATATAGTGCTAAGCCCTTGTCTTGTTAAAGGGGATATGCCACGATGATATTGCTGCTTTAGGCCAATTCTGTGCTGAAGTAATCTCTGTGTCCATTTATCTATGCATCAAATGTTCCTGCAGAGCCATGAAGAAGATATCAAACAACTTTCATCATGGCGCACTGTATTATAACCATTACATTTTTTGGTGATTTTTGCAGGCATACTATTTAAACAATCTACAAAACAAGGCCATTTTTTTTTAATTTTACGCGCTTTTTAATTATTTTTCCCCTTAAGGTCGAAGTTGAGTTAAGGGTTTTTCAGGAGTAATGACTTTAAAACTAACATGGAAGACTAAATGAATGAATTGGATGACGTTGCGAAGTTACCTGCTTCTGAATGCTTAGCGATATCTTCTTGCACTGTGTTCGTGACGTGAATTCATTGAATTCCACGATCCCTGAGTGTATGCCTTGATGCGAACCTTGAAATGCAAGCCAGTTGATCACAGACGTTCCACCAGAGCCACTTCCTGCTTCGCGCACGCAGGCTTCAAAACCTGTTGTTGACACCGACTTCACCCAAAGAGACGCTGGGTCGTGGATTTTAACATATTTGTTTCCGCGACTGAGCGTCGCGAACACCTTTACATCTCCCGAACCCTGGAATTGAGTTTCAAAAGAAACGGCTTGGCAACCATGGTTGTTTTGGGAAGTGTCGGTAATATTTACCTTCCCAGCTTGAAAGACAGCCCCTTGAATGTAAAAAAAAAAAAAGAAAAATAATAAAAAAAAAGAACTATGATAATGATATACACGATAACGATAACAATGACAATAACAATAACGATCATAATGATGATGATAATGATGATGACGATGACGAGGATGATGACGATAGACCGGCCAGATGGTGCGGAAGGGGGTATAGGGGCTACATATATCTTAGTATTTTACAATTAGACCAGATGAAAGGCGAGGTAACAGCGGAATACATCTGAAGAGAAATTAAGACGGTTGTGTAGATCCAAATTGAATGGCGGAAATCTTATTGGTGCATCAATGTCTAGGCTGTAGGTTTAATACGCTACAGTGCAAGTATCGTGGATTACATGTTGGAAGGGCTGGTCAGTATGGATAGAAAAACTAGGAAGATATTGGCGGTAAATGGCTATTTACACACAAAACGTAATGTTGCCAGACTGTATCTACTGAGAAAAGAAGGGGTGAGGGTTGATTGGTATTGAGGAGTGTTAGAAGGAGAGAAAAAATTATTACATGGCTACCTGAGAGATATCAAGAGAAGGGTTTGTTGAAGAAGAGAATCTTAAGGACTACCAGAAAAGAAGGGAAGAGGAGAAAGTCAGAAACGGAAAGCTCCACAGGGAGAATTTACTACGAAAACTTCAGATGTGACTGAAGAGGAGTCCTGTGGATGTCTCAGGAATGGCTTTGTTCAAGATGGGAAAAGAAGGCAAAGCAATGCAAAGGCCTGGTGTGGAAGATCAAGTTTGCCCGACATATTTTGAAGTACTCAGTTATCAGCCATCAATTCGTACTGCTCACATTTTACGGAATGTGCTGTGCCTCTAAGCTGTTGGATGCAGCTGAGAAATGAGAGGATCAAGAAAAACACCATGGTGCTGGCGAGAATCGCCCAATAATAATGATAATAATAATAATAATAATAATAATAATAACTGCAATAAATTGATAAATGTTAATCGTTAATTTTTGGTTAAGTATGCACTTGTTGACCTAACCACCAGTTTCAATAAAACCCTTTACATTTCAGTTAGTAACGAAAGTTTGAAAACCTTAATAAATAAGCTAAAGAAATCAAATAAATTCTGAATGCAACAACATCTATTTCTTGACAATATATATATTAATTTTTTCTGAATATTTGGTTACCTTTCCCCATTTTACTGTCCTTCTCATATCACCCTAAAATGATGCGATCCTCTTATTTGGAATTATTTCGCTATGTCATGCAGATCAATTTACCATTTTTGAATCTATAGGTCTAATCCATCTGGATTAATTACACCCCATAAGTGGTTTACTTCCTTGAAAGCGAAGGTTGAGTTTGGGCCTCACGTCTCTTAGAACGTGCTTTAAGCCTGAGATCGTCGTCTACAATTTTTTTTTTGTGGGCTGGAGAGTATTTTTTGTCAGCTTCATATTTTTGCTTATCCAAGACGAGTAATCCTGCATAAGGGTTTTGTTGACGCACGTCTTCAGAGACTCAGAGGAAGCAAATTTGGACGCGCAACAGGTCTAATCCATCTGGATCAATTACATCCCATAAGTGGTTTACTTCCTTGAAAGCAAAGGTTGAACTCGGGCCTCACGTCTCTTAGAACGTGCTTTAAGCCTGAGATCGTTGTCTATAAATTTCTTTTTGGGTGGGCCCAGGAGAGTATTTTGTCAGCTTGAGCGTGCTTTAAGCCTGAGATCGTTGTCTATAAACTTCTTTTTGGGTAGGCCCTGGAGAGTATTTTGTCAGCTTGATATTTTTGCTTATTTAAGACGAGTAATCCTGCATAAGGTTTTTGTTGACGCACGTCTTCAGAGGCCCAAAGGAAGCAAATTTGGACGCGTAACAGGTCTAATCCATCTGGATCAATTACACCCCATAAGTGGTTTACTTCCTTGAAAGCAAAGGTTGAGCTCGGGCCTCACGTCTTCTTATAGTATGCTTTAAGCCTGAGACCGTCGTCTATAAATTCATTTTTGGGTGGGCCCCGGAGAGTATTTTGTCAGCTTGATATTTTTGCTTATCCAAGGCGAGTAATCCTGCATAAGGTTTTTGTTGACGTACGTCGTCAGAGACCCGGAGGAAGGTCATTTGGATGCGCAAGAGGTAAAATTATTGCCTACAAGGTTTTCAAGAAGTACCGGAGAGAAGTCTCCCAGTTCCCAGTTTGCTTGGAGAGATTTCACCCATAAATATCCCGCACCACTAGTTGCTGCCCTTGTCCCTCCTAAGGTGCGCATGAAAAATTGTCTTCGTAGATAAACAAATACAATTGGGGTGCTCGAGAAAACGATGAAACGTGCAGTCTGCACCAAATTTGTATTGGTCAGATTGCAGTCAATTGTCAACCCCCTTAACAAAATTTGCCAACAACATTCTTGTTTGATAAAAATTAACAGAAATTTGTTATTTACCAGTACAATAATCGATGGTCATTAGTAACTTACCACTGGTAAAATAAAGCTGCAAATAAAGCACCTGAGCGGCAAGGAAAGCAAAGAGTGGCTTCGTCATCATTGCCTTAATTCTTTACGGCTGTGTATTTGATATTACCTCTCCTCAGTTGTAAATGCGTATATGGACACTAGGCATCTCTAATTAAACCTTCTCGGTTTTGGAATGAGGAAGACTTACACCAGTTATTTAGCACCTATCTCTCCAACGGGGTTAAAGGGTCGTCGGACCATGTGAGCGTTTTAGCGTATATTCCGCTGGCGTTGTCGGCATTGTGGAAAATGATTGGCTGGGGTTCGACAACTACTTACTAGAATGGTCCTTGGGGATAAACGTCAAGCAACTTTGTTTAACCTTATCCAGTGAGCTTAAACCTTTTATAATCAGTATCCGTTGGCTAAACACTTTCTGGAAATAAACAACTATTCATGCGACATTGAACTAAGATCGTAAACACAACGATGCGTGGAAGCTCTGCAGTTGCCAAAATTAAGACACTTAAAAATTATCAGACTTGGAAAAAAAACAGGAAGATATTCGAGTACATGATTCCGCATTCTCCCGCTTAAACGTGATTAAAGGAAAGCTGATGTTTGTTATCTTAAAAATTGACCGACACGTACACCGCTTAATACAAACAGCTATGGACTCTGGCCCTGTTACGACACCGACTATACCGTACATCAGGGGCACCCCTGAAACTATTGCCCGTATATTACAACCTTACAATATCCGTGTTGCACACAAACCGATAACCACTTACGGCGACTGGTTACTAATGTCAGGAACAAAGACAAACCGGAGCAGAGACAGGGAGCAGTATACAAGATCAAATGCTGCGACTAACCTAAGCACGCGACTGACCGAACACAAACGAGCGACGAGGAATGGGGACGTCAACAATCACATTGCTGAGCAACATTTACAGACAAAACATCAATTGACTGGGACTCTGCGACATGTAGACTACTATGAACGTCTCACTTTAGAAAGCTCAGTGGTTTACTAACTTAGAACAAACGCCACTGAATCGTAGCCAACAGTTACCAGCGCCGAACAAACGACTTATTGACGAGATCAAGCAAAATTAACTACGAGAGAACGACTGGAGAACTGACAATTTGACTAACAATAGACTACTGTTTAACTGTGGCAACAGACGGATCGAAACGCACCAATTACTGATTACAAGTCTTCATAGCCAATAACATTACGGCTTAACTGACAGACGACCAATAACATCGCGACGTAATTGACCAATCAAATCAATAGCCAGAGTATAATACCATCAACTGACGTGATACAACTCACTTTGACTCTGAAGATGACTACCGCGCACAGGTTGTCGAAACGTCAGTCAGTGTCAACAACAGTCCTATTCAGGACTACGTTCACCCAGACGATCAAACTCAACCTACACGGAAAGCCTCATTCGTTTGGGAACTTTCCATTCCTGCACTTATCAGTTCATCTTGAGCCAGCTGCAGGGCAGAGAGGACAGTCATTTCAAATTTGTTTACACTTGCGTCCGCCATTTTTAATTTTGAGAAAGCCTACTAATGACACCGCTGACCCTTGACCTCGCGGGAAAGAAGTGGCCTGATCTTGCATCAAAAATCCCCAGCGTGAACAGCTATGCTATTGCTTTCAAGTCAATTTTCCTTAACAAAGTACGTAGGTTGCAATCACGGTTCTAGAAAGGAATTATTTTTCAAGCAAAAGAATAAAAGTTTCACTGCAAACGGAGCTAAGGCCAAACTGATAGGCTTTTGGAATTCAGAGGACTTGATGTCCACCTCCATAATTCTTCATAAGATACTCAGCCTCATTCATTAATTGATAAATAATGTATTCACTTATGTCTTAATGGGTTCTAGTTTTCCTTGCTAATTATTCACTTCCGCTACGGACCAAATACCTTCTCACACTACACCAGAGTGTGGCACAGAACCTATCAGATACGTCACACTCCACTTCCGAGATCGGTGCGGCGCAGCTATGCTCCGTTACAGAAATCGCGCCAAACTCACCGTTCCTATGTGTGAACAGAAGCCCGGTATGGTTTTCGCGCGGATGCAAATAATATCCGGTATAGTGTAAACATGCCTACATCAGGTGCAATGACCTTTATATTCGGTAAAATGCATTTATTCAACCTAAAAGTCAGTGAAAGGATGCCTCAAGTGAAATACGGGTTCGAATGTCCAAAACAATAGAAAACTAGTTGGGATGAATGGATAAGACTAATCTACGGAAATGCAGACCACGGAATCGTGGAACCTAAAGAAATGACTATTTTTATTACTATAGGTAATCATTGTTTACAGATCCACATTTCGTCATTTACGGAAACGAAATCGAGTCGAAAGGAGTCAAGTTTCCCGGCCGTGGTGTCCCTGATAAAATTAATAGGGGCGGCTAATTATGATTTGCGGCGCCACAGTAACACCAGATTAGGATGCATTCTGACGAACGCGACAACTGCCTTTGGTTAACATGATTAGGTAATTAGTTACAATTAATTGTTAACATTTCCAGGCTCAATCGCATACAATAACTCGCTTTACCAATGGCTGCAAAC